TAGAGAAAGACCTTCTTCATGTAGAGTTGACCTGGGTGTGGCAAAGAGAAATTTAGAGAAAGCCTATGATTCTTGGTGAATGGATGAATCTTCCTCAGCAATCTGAGAAGATCCTCGAGATCCAGGATGACACATTCGTATGTGACAGTGGTGGAAATCAGGTGACAGAACAGGTCATAAGATGGCGTAGCAGTGAGGAAGGAGATAGATGATGCTGGAGCCCAGGTGGGGAAACTTTCTCTCTGCCCTGGAGAGAACACAGAAACTCATCACTCATTCCTGGGATTGAACTGAGGACAAAGGGAAGTTCTTATTTTTTTTAAACCCAATTCTGTTCTTCAGGTTGGAGGACAATGGAAAGATGAGTCAGTTCCATTCTGGAGTGAGAAGTCAAGGATGTGCAGAGTCAGAGAAGATATACTGATCCTAACTGGAAGGTGAGATGGCTTCCTGGGCTTGGAAGATGGACCACAAACATAGATTCATATGTATATGGGTTTCATACTCACACCCTATTATTGTTATTCCATTTCAACCTTCGAGTCCTGATAACCTTAAGCTCATCATCAGTAACTGAGCCTTTTTCTCCTCATCCCCTGCTCACAGCACTCTGTAAGGAGCACGTCACTGCTTCCTCTTTTGGTTGCTTAGGCCATTTGTGCAAAAGTTCATGGTAAGACTAGGTCCTGACCCAAGGTCATGCAACTCAAAACTGTGTACAATTTGGTCATGTGTACCTCCCTCTGCAACAAAGATAGTTGGAAGGGGAAAAAGTAAATTGGGTAGGAGAGCTTCTCATTGCCTGCCATCTGTGTGACATTGCCACAGCACATTGCCCAGGGCAGAGCACCAGATGTGTAATGCCAGTGGGCTTATAGAGAGTACAGAAAGCCCTCGATGTTGTTTTCCTTCATGCAATCGCTGGGCACAAGTCCCTAATGGTTTTGGAAGGCACTGTTCCCTGGTCCACCCCCTCTGCATGAGGGTCAGAGATCACCTACCTGGAGACTCAGGACTGTGTTCCACCTCGGGCCTGGATACAGCGGTCTGCAGAGGCACAACAGAAGACATTCAGAGAGACCATCCCTATTATTTTTCCCTAGAAGAAATTGGATGCTTCTCCATGTTGGCACAAAGGAGGCTGATTATCTTCCCTTGGATTTTCCTTTTCTGTGGACATGAAGTTCAGGAGGAGAAAGCCAGCTAGCTAAACTTACCAACAGTGGTCAGGTCCAATATGTTTTCCTTAACAATTCCATATTTTTCAGAAACATTCACAAATTTCTGCTTGAGTTCTGAGCTCACATCTGGTGCTCGACCTGTGAGAGTAGTGACATTACTGCTGTGACTTATGTCTTGAGGATAGAGGAGAATGAGAGGACAGGGCTCCAGGAGAACAGGAAAATGGATGGTGACAATTGTATGTCAGGACCTGTTCTGAATCTGACATCAATAAGACATCTTTCTGGCACAATGAGAGATTTCATGATCTTCCCTTCAGTGAGCCTGAGGGAATCCCAAAGGTATACATCTGTCTTCAGTGGGGAAGATAGGGTCTCTGATAACCTTGGGGAGATCATTTTGTGTCTAGGGTCCTTCCTTCCATTTCCTCCCACCCAAGATGAGTGTCAGCATGAAAATACTCTACCATAGAGCTGCATCAGTTGGACTGTATTTCCATGATTTTCATTTATTAGGTAAAAAATAATATAGTTACAATAGTCCGTTTCAAGTACTTTAAATGTATTATGTCTATCATCTGTGAAGGAAACAGAATACAGCTCAGAACTTCTTTGGTTTGTGGGAAGCAATGAAAACTTTTCACCTATTCTTTCCCATGAAAAAACACAATGCATCTTCTAGAAGACACAGTGAAGATGGCTAATGCCTTCCTTTTGTAACTCCCTGGGCTTCATGAAGGACTTCTAAAAAGGACACTGGTAAATAGACCATGAGTGTAGAACATTCAGTCTCAGCAGCAACTCACCCTCTATCGTCCTGAGACCTGTCCACCTCCCTCACCATCTCTGTCAATAATGCTCTCTGTCTTCCCAATAAGCCCTCTGGAATTACATATCTGGTGCTACATCCTGGGCTATATGTGTGGCAATGCCCCCAGGCATCTTCACACAGATGGCAGAAAACGAGCAGTTATCCTACCCAGTTTACCTTTCCCCTCCTGCCAATTACCTTTATTGCAGAAGGAGCTACATCTGACCAGACTGCATTCTTTCTTTGATGGTATTATAGGAATTGGCTTTTGCACATTAGTTTTTCCTATATACAGGACTTTGGCTATTAGATGGCCCCTATTATATTACTTTAATAAGAATTAATGAGTCATTGATAAATATCCTGATGATATTGGAGTTCAGTGAATTCCTTGCAGTTGGAAATATAATTTAGAAAGAACATTTGTGGTCTACTTACATTCAACAGAATATACACCATCCTCTTCTGTTTTGTCACAAACAAACGCAATTTCAGCACATACTCCATTTATACTGTAAAAAAGAACGAGTTTGGGCCCAGGACATATTGTTGAGGCTGGCTTCCTCATCCTCTATTCTACCTATAACCTGGGTTTCTGATTCCACCTAACTTTTGAATATTTTTTGTACAATTAACAAACAGATTTTCTTCATAATTGTTTCATTACTTTGATACTTGGGAAATGACTTAAAAAGTGCTTGAACTGTTTGTCACCATTGTTACTACTAATTACCATACTTACTACTAATATACCACAATCACTCGTTAAGATCATTAGCTAAGTATGCACTAATGGTGCCTCTCAGCTGAGTTCTTTATGAACATCACCTGACTCAGCCCTCACAAGAAATCAAGAGGGAGAATCTTTATCACCAGCTTTTGTCCATGGAAAATGAAGGTGGGAAGGGATGAAATTTTTTTTTTTAATGGTACTAGGGATTAACCAAGGGGTGCTTAACCACTGAGATACATCCCCAGCCATTTTTAATATTTTATTTAGTGACAGGGTCTCACTAAGTTGCTAAAGCTGGCTTTGAATCCATGATCCTCCTGCCTCAGCCTCTGAGCCACTGGGATTAAAGTTGTGCACCACCACACCTGGTCAGGGATGGGTTTTCTTGGTCAACAGGTGGTAAAAATCAAATTCAGTCTGTTGATTCTAAATCCCATGCTCTTGAACTATTCCATATTGTCATGCTAACCTTGATTCTGATACCCCTCTGCCCTCTGCATCCCCCACTTCTAATCAACTTACTCCTGTAACCAACTCTTTATCCATGAATCTTGAAAAGTCCCAGGTCCATCAAGTCCTGGGTCAGTTCAAATGAGGGACTGTGATTTTGGATGCAGGCTCAGTATGTATGTGCACATGTCTGTGTGCATGTGTTGGGGTGTGTGTGTGTGTGTGTGTGTGTGTGTGTGTGTGTGTGTTTAGGTTTAAGATAATACCTACTCTTTCATTTTCCCTTTCCCAAGTAAAAAAGCCATACTTACATTATATGGAATTTAAAGCCTAAGGAAGAGTTCTTCAAGGCATGGATATATTCCACAAAAACCCTCATGCTACCGTTTTCTTCTATCTTTTCCTTTTGATCAGAGGCCAGGAGAATGGAATACCACTCCCCTGAATACTGCAATAAATAAGAAAAATGGTTAAGTGAGAAAAGGGGAGAGGGAATGCCACACAGACACTCTTCCCCTTGAACTCTTGGCCTATGGGGCAGGACTCAGGATGAGAAGAGGGAATTAGAACTCAGATCATTTGGCAGGACACCTAGGACATTTCCACTGTCTCTTCAGTGAAATCGGAAGTCCCCGGCACTGTTGAATTTTTTTTTTAAGAGAGAGAGAGAGAGAGAGAATTTTAATATTTATTTTTTAGTTTTTGGCGGACACAACATCTTTGTTTGTATGTGGTGCTGAGAATCGAACCTGGGCCACATGCACGCCAGGTGAGCGCGCTACCGCTTGAGCCACATCCCCAGCCCTTCTGTTGCATTTTAATATGGCACAATTGCTCTTAGTTCAGGTCTGAACCCACTCCTTTAACATGCCACCCTTCAACATCAAAAGTTGTAATGCTCCACAGTTTTACCTTGGACGGATCAAAGTTGCTTGTCACAGCATCATGGGTTCCTTCTTTGTGAGCCCAGATCAGGGTCAGTCCCAGACTCAGCAGCAGGAGCTTCATCTTGGTAAGGAATAAAACTGTCTCCTCACAGTCCCCAGGAGTGAGCACGGCCCCACTGTAGCTCCACCGCAGCTCTTCTACCTTTTTATCTAAACCCCTTGGTTTTTTTTTTTTTTTTCTCTGTCCAGGTGCCTCCACCTTTCCTCCTTCCTGTCCTTGGAATGGTCTTTCATTCCCTGGGGTGAAGCCAAGGATTGTTCCTGCCCTTTTGAAACTTGG